AGCACAAGTGTCCACAGAAGTCCCAGTCCTTCATCCCTGAATGAGCTCGTTCAGCCCAGGAAAAACTAAGTTTTATTTCCATGGAAGGAGGTTTTTCGCACTTTAACACCAGTTTAGTTCCAAACCAGTTTCTTCATTTCCTCCTCCCAATTTCCCTGTAGGACACTGACAGGGACCATGGACACTGACAGGGATCACAGAGTTTGTCCCTTGGCCATACAGCTCCTGTTTGGCAGCACAGGAGAGGTTAATTAGAGCCGAGGGTCCAATCCCAGGGCACCCATTGGATCAGCACTTGGGGATACAAACTGACTTTGGGCTCAGGATGCAGCTGCCAGCACAGATTTCCCTGCAAAGTCTGCAGTGAGTCAAGCTCTGGAGAGGAGATTGTGCCCCATGGATGGGATTGCAGAGGCTCCCTCAGGTCCCCAGAATGAATCATCACTCTCTGCAACTCCCTGCCAGGAAGTTGTAGCTAGGTGGGGGTGGGGCTCTTGTGCCAGGGAGCAGCAGTAGGACAAGAGGGCTGGGTTTTGAGCTGTGCCAGGGGAGGTTTAGGTTGGATATTAGGAAGCAATTTTTTCCCAAGAGAGTCATCAGGCCTTGAAATGGGCTGGGCAGGGAGGGGGTGGAGTCAGCATCCCTGGAGGTGTTGAAGGTGAGAGTGGATGTGGCATCAGTGCCATGGTCTGGGAAGCACGGCGGAGTTGGATCCAGGATTGGACTTGATGATCTCAGAGGTCTTTTCCAACCGGGCTGATAGTGTGATTCTCTGATTCCCATTCCTATGGCAGCACATGCTTGAGGCTCTGTCCCCAGGGTGATAGAGATGTCTGTCCATATATATCTGCAAGGTTAGTGTGTAAATGTGTGGTGTTAGAAAAGCCGGCTAAGTTCTGGGCTGGTTGTAGAAGGAGAAAGAAGCCCAGAGGCCAGTGCAAGCAGGCAGCCCTCAGCTTGCACATCGTGTCCCCTCCCTGCAGGTTCCTGTCCTTGAGCCCAGACCCTGAGGTGAGCCCAGAGCTGTCCTTGAGGTGAGCCTGAGAATAAGTGCAAGGCAGAGGTGCTGCTTAGGAAGGAGACCCCCGTGGTGGGGAAGAGAAAAAAGCTGTGACTGCCCATCCTGGAGAAGGTGCTGTCTCCATCCCCTGTGTGCCAGGTGAGCTGGGGCTTTGCTGCAGAGCTGCGGGCGCTGATTTGAGCGGCTCCAAGTGCTGAGATGGTGGGCACCCAGGAACACAAACTGTGCCTGGCCACGGAGCCTGCAAGGAGGAGCAGAGACAGCCCTGGCAGTGTGGGGGGCCAGGTTGTCCCTGTGCCTTCCCCTGCAGGCCCTGGCTGTCCCTGCTGGGCCCCTGTCCATCCCCATCAGGTCCCTGCCCGTCCTCCCCAGGCTGAGCTCCCCCCAGGAACTGCCATGGAGCTGAAGCTGCTGCCATCCCCCCCCTGCAACCGCTGCCCCAGCCAAGGGAGCAGCAAAGGCAGGGCCAGGAGCAGAGGCAGCAGCAGGGGAGCACTGGGGGGGCTGGGAAGCTCTTGTGTGGGGCAGGAAAGAGGCGCTGGGCACGAGGCTGGGGCTGTGCTGAGCAGGCCCAGCCCTCACATCCCCCCAGCCAACGCCGGCTGCCCGGGGGGCTTGGGAGGGACCCCCAGCCCGTGTGCCCCACACTCAGCTGGCACAGAGAGAGCCAAGGGACAGGGCCACGGGCAGGGCCACGGGTGAGGGACAGGCAGGGCCATTGCAGGGCCACGGTGAGGGCACAGCCTGTGGCAGCAGAGCTGCCCAGGGCCAGGGGCAGCCGGGGGTGTTGGTACCAGGCAGTGCTGGGGCCGAGCAGAGCATGAGGCCTCTTGCAGAGCCCTGGAGCAGCCTCCCACTTGCCAGCCCCACCCTGGTGGGGTGACACTGTCCCCTCCATACAGGATTCTCCCCCTGAAATCTTTGTGGGGGCCTTTTGTGTGTATTCCTGGTCTCTGATTCCTGCTGGGGACCTGATGGAGCCTCTGCAATCCCATGCATGGGGCACAATCTCCTCTCCAGAGCTTGACTCACTGCAGACTTTGCAGGGACATCTGTGCTGGCAGCCCGAGTATGTCATGACCCCCCACGCTCCCCCCAGGATATTTGGGATGAGTTCCCCCTTCCCGGACACCCACGGGATGGGGGGACGATTGTTCCCCTGCTGTTGCTGTTGCTGCTCTGCCCCTGTCCCTGCCCTTCCTGCCACTGGGCAATGGGAAAGGGACCGCCAATGGGAAAGGGGCGAGAGAAGCGGAAAGGGTGGGTGGGACACCCAAAAGGAACACAAGGGGCGGTGGGTCACCCCCAGAGGGAGCTGGGGGAAGCCGGGGTTTTGAGGGCTGATGGGAAAGGGGTGGGAGAGGGCGGCTAAGGGGAGGGAGGAGAACGGGAGTGGGGTTGCCTTGGCAGTCCCTTCGTGTCCCCATGCCTTTATCCCTGGAGAGTGGGGGAGGCTGGAGAGAGGGGGGAGCTGCGAGAGCCCTGAGAGCCTGGAGAGGAGGGAGTTCGGGCCCCGTGTGCTGAGCCAGCGGTCGGGGCCGTGCTGTTGGTGCCAAATTGCCCCTGGTCAGGCTGAACCCAGAGCCCCCCCACGTGTCAGGGGGCCCGATCTGCTTCCTGCTCTCGTTGCCCTGGGGCAGCCTCTGGTGTCCCCCCGCCTGTGGGGCTGTTTGGTTGCCTTGGGCACAGCCGACCCTTGTGCAGGGCTGTGCCCTTGGGGCTCTTGTGGGTGGGCGGGAGGTGTTTTTTGGGGCTGCCGGGCTGGGTTGGGGGCAGAGCCCCAGCAGTGGGTGGGGGGATGCGGGTCCTCCCCTGCAGTGGGGGTTGGTGTTGCTGGGTCAGGCCCTGCCGGCTCCATTGTCAGCCCGGTGCCGGCAGGGGGGACACAGCGGTTTTGGGGCCCCCCCGGGAGTGCCAGGGATGGGTGTGGAGCCCGGGAGCTGCCGAGTGTCGAGGGCAGAGCGGGGCGATGCCGGAGCTGGGGGACCACCAGCAGCCTGGAGGGGGGAGCACAGAGAGGAAGGAGCCCCGGGACCCCCGGGTGCCTGAAACAGGGGGTGCAGAGAAGGGGAAGCCTGGACAGTGGGGACCCTTGGGATCCCCAGGACAACAAAGTGGAGAACCTGGAGAGGGGGAGTGTCTGGGAACGCAGCACCCTGAAGGTGAGAGTTAGAGGAGAAGGGATGCTTCGGACCCCCAACACTCCCAGCATCCCTAAGCATGCCAGACAGGGGAGATCCTCTTAACCTCAGAGGGGAGAGACCAGAGAGGGGGAACTTCTGGGAGAGATTTTTTGGGTTAATCCTCATATTTTGGAGTATTTTTTGGCTGAATTTCAACTTTTGGAGGGTGGCAGACTTCTTGCTATTTCTGAGGGTTTTTTTCCTGAATCTTGCTTGTTTGGGTTTTTCTGGGCTGAATCTTGGTGTTTTGGAGGTTTTTATGAACACAGGATGCCCAGTGAGTTCTAGAGATGGACTTGGGCAGGAGGAACCCCAGAGCCAACACACTCAGCCCTTGTTTCCCCCCCATCAGGATTTGTCCTTCCCAAAGCTTGGGTGGATGGAGGAGGAGGCGGCGAGGAAGAGGAAGATGCCTTGGGCCCTCCAGGCAGGTGAGGAGGAAGTCAGTGGCCCTTTGGGCCGGTGTTGTGCTGGCTCTGGCAGCCGAGCATGGCCCCGGGCTGCAGGACAACCCCGCTGCCGCCACCGTCCTGCCGGGGCCGGAGTTGGGGGGATGTCCTTGGCCTTCCCTGTGGACCGGAGGCAAATCCCCTCCCTGTCCTTCTTGCTTCCTTCCCCAGGCCCCGAGTTGAGGACGGAGAGCCCGGAGGACAAATCCCCCCGGCAGAAGCTGGTGGGAGAGGCTGTTTTGAAGGGCTCCACAGTGCAGGAAGGCAGCGGGGAGAAAAAGGCCCGGAGATCCCCCTGCAGGAGGGGCTCCAAAGCCAGCCCAGGGTGCTCTGAGGAGGAAAGACCCAGCCTGTGCCGGGAAGGCGGCCAGAGCTTGAGGCAGAGCTCTGACCTGGTGGTCCCTGAGCCGCCTTCCAGCAGGGAGAAGCCCTTCAAGTGCTTGGAATGTGGGAAGAGCTTCAGCCAGAGCACCAAACTCCTCAGCCACCAGCACATCCACACCGGGGGACAGCCCTACACATGTGGGGAACGTGGGAAGAGCTTCAGAAACAGCTCCAACCTGATCCAGCACCATCGCATCCACACTGGGGAACGACCCTATTTGTGTGGGGAATGTGGAAAGAGCTTCAGCCAGAGCTCCCACCTCCTCACCCACCAGCACATCCACACTGGGAACCGGCCCGGGAAAGGGGTGGGAGAGGAGGGCTATAGGGAGGTGGGAGAGCGAGAGCGGTGTTGCCGTGTCGGTCCCTCCGTGTCCCCATGCCTTGATCCCTGGAGAGTTTGGGAGGCTGGAGAGAGGGGGGAGCTGCGAGAGCCCCGAGAGCCTGGAGAGGGGGGAGTTCGGGCCCCCTGTGCCGAGCCAGCGGTCGGGGCCATGCTGTTGGTGCCAAATTACCCCTGGTCAGGCTGAAGCCAGAGCCCGCCCACGTGTCAGGGGGCCCAATCCACTCCCTGCTCTCATTGTTCTGGGGCAGCCTCTGGTGTCCCCCCACCTGTGGGGCTGTTTGGTTGCCTTGGGCACAGCCGGCCCTTGTGCAGGGCTGTGCCCTTGGGGGCTCTTAGGGGTGGGTGGGAGGTGTTTTTTGAGGGTGCTGGGCTGGGTTGGGGGCAGAGCCCTGGCGGTGGGCGGGGGGATGCGCTTCCCCCCGCCACGGTGGGGGTTAATGTTGCTGGGTCAGGCTCCGCCGGCTCCATTGTCAGCCCGGTGCCGGCAGGGGGGACACAGCGGTTTTGGGGCCCCCCAGGAGTGCCGGTGTTGAGTGTGGAGCCCGGGAGCTGCCGAGTGTGGAGGGCAGAGTGGGGCGATGCCGGAGCTGGGGGACCCCTGGCAGCCTGGAGGGGGGAGCATGGAGAGGGAGGAGCCCCGGGACCCCTGGGATCCTGAAACGGGGGACGTGGAGAAGGGGAAGCCTGGACGGGTGAGACCCCTGGGATCCCCGGGACAACAAAGTGGAGACCCTGGAGAGGGGGAATGTGTGGGAACTCGGCACCCCAAAGGAAAGAGTCAGAGTAGAAGGGACCCTTGGGACCCCCAACACCCCAGAGGAGTCAGAGGGTCACTCAGGGGAGACCCTCTGAAACCCAGAGGAGACAAGACCAGAGAGGGGGAACTTCTGGGTGAGATTTTTTGGGCTAATCTTCATATTTTGGAGTATTTTTTAGTTAAATCTCAACTTTTTGCAGTTTGGGAGGCTAAGGGTCTTCTTGCTATTTCTGAGGGTCTTTTTGCCTGAATGTCAGTAGCTTGGGTTTTTCTGGGCTGAATCTTGGTGTTTTGGAGGTTTTTATGGACACAGGATGCCCAGTGGGTTCTAGAGATGTACTTGGGCAGGAGGAACCCCCAAACCAACGCACTCAGCCCTTGTTTTCCCCCCATCAGGATTTGTCCTTCCCAAAGCTTGGGCGGATGGAGGAGGAGGCGGCGAGGAAGAGGAAGATGCCTTGGGCCCCCCAGGCAGGTGAGGAGGAAGTCAGTGGCCCTTTGGGCCGGTGTTGTGCTGGCTCTGGCAGCCGAGCATGGCCCCCGGCTGCAGGACAACCCCAATGCCGCCGCCATCCTGCCGAGGCCGGAGTTGGGGGGATGTCCTTGGCCTTCCCTCTGGGCCAGAGGCAAATCCCCTCCCTGTCCTTCTTGCTTCCTGCCCCAGGCCCCGAGCTGTTGATGGAGAGCCCGGAGGACAAATCCCCCTGTGAGACCCTGGTGGGAGAGGCCGTTTTGAAGGGCTCCACAGTGCAGGAAGGCAGCGGGGAGGAAAAGGGCCGGAGATCCCCCCACAGGAGGAACTCCAAAGCCAACCCAGGGTGCTCTGAGGAGGAAAGACCCAGCCTGTGCAGGGAAGGCGGCTGGAGTTTGAGCCAGAGCTCTGACCTGTTGGTCCCTGAGCAGCCTCCCAGCAGGCAGAAGCCCTTCAAGTGCTTGGAATGTGGGAAGAGGTTCAGGCAAAGCTCCCACCTGATTGAACACCAGCACATCCACACTGGGGAACGGCCCTATTCATGTGGGGAATGTGGGAAGAGCTTCAGCGTGAGCTCCAAGCTCCTGACCCACCAGCGCATCCACACTGGAGAATGGCCCTACATGTGTGGGGAATGTGGGAAGAGCTTCAGGGACAGCTCCAGCCTGATTCAACACCAGCGCATCCACACTGGGCAACGGCCCTACCCATGTGGGGAATGTGGAAAGAGCTTCAGGAACAGCTCCAGCCTGATCCAACACAAGCACATCCACACTGGGGAACGGCCCTACACGTGTGGGCAATGTGGGAAGAGCTTCAGGAACAACTCTACTCTCCACAACCACCAGCATATCCACACCAGGGAACGGCCCTACACGTGTGGGCAATGTGGGAAGAGCTTCAGGAACAACTCTACTCTCCACAACCACCAGCACATCCACACCAGGGAACGGCCCTACAAGTGCTTGGAATGTGGGAAGGGATTTCGAACCCGTGGGAATCTCCTCCTGCATGAGCGGACGCACACAGATGATAGGCCCTTCTGCTGCACCGACTGCGGGAAGGGCTTCAACCGGAACTCCAACCTCATCACCCACCGGCGCATCCACACCGGGGAGAGGCTCTACAAATGTGGGGAGTGTGGGAAGAGCTTCACCCGCAGCTCTTACATGACCTCACACCAACGGACCCACCAGTAAGAGAAGCCCTACAAGTGCCCCGACTGCGGGAAGAGCTTTGGCCACTGCTTCCACCCCAAATGAACCCCCTGATGGTGAGGCAACCCCTGGAGTCCAGTGACTGTCAGTCCATCCCTTTCGACCACAAAGGGCCAGTCCTCTTTCCCAGGGGCAGGTTCTGCCAACAGAACCCTTCTTGGGGGGTGTGTGGAGATTCCTGCCTTGGCTGGGGACCCCCCAAGTTCAGTCCTGCAGGTTGAGAGCAGAGATCTCCCCATGAGCTTTGGTCTGGGGGAGTTCCATCCATCTCTACTTAAGAATTCTTGCTTTTGTGCCAGCTTGAGTAGAATTGCTTCAACAATTGCTTTAGTGTAGAGCACTCTCCTATCTTACCCTGTATTCCTGGTAGTTTTAGTGTTTCTTTTATGCAGTAAATAATTCTGATGAAGATCTTTTGTCTGATCATTTGTAACCCTAAATAATTCCTTTCTATCAGTAGATCTGATTTGCCATCGTTAAAACCTGGGGGACAAAAGTGTTTCAGTCACAACTTTCTAATTCCTCTAAATTGAAGTTGTTGGCATAACCCAAGGCTGTGATTGGATCCAGCAGCCCCCAGCACCCCACAGGAAGTTTGGAGCTCAGGGGGGCCATCCCCCCCTTCCCATTCTCCCAGTGTCCAAAGACCCCCATGGGACCGTCAGACCTGCCAGACCACCCTCCCTTTTCCACCCTTCTCCTTGTTCATCCCACTTTCCCACTGTACCCTCAATCCCCAATTTCCCCCGTCCACAGAACGGTTCCTCAGCCGGCAGCCATTAAACAATGAATGCCCCCCTCCTGCTCCATGCCTCAGCTTTTAGAGCTGAGCTGACCTCCCATGGTCTGCAATGTCCCTTGGGTCAGTTGGGCTCAGCTGGCCTACTTGGGTCCCCTCCCAGGGTCTTGCCCTCAGCTAAGGAAGGAATGTCCCAGTGTTGGTGCTGTGCTCAGCAGTGGCCAAAACACAGGTGTGTTCTCAACACCCTTCCAGCTGCCAATGCCAAGCACAGCCCTGGGAGGGCTGCTGTGGGGAAATGAACTGCAGCTCAGCCAGACCCAACACAAATATCTGTGGCACATATTCTATAGAATCCATCCTTAGGTGTTGTATGATAGATCTATAAGATATTACAAATAATAAGCAATAATAAGGCAAGTGTCCTCCTTAGGGACACACCCTCCCCCCCCAAACTACTGCCTGGGTTTGTTCCCTGGGGGTCTCTGCAGCAGCAAGCACAGCACCACACTGACTGCTCTGGGCTGTGCAGGCATTTGTGGTTCTGCCTGTCTCACACACCCCCCCAACTTTGGGATGGATCTGGATGTCACTGGATGTGATGTCAGAGGGGAGATGTGATGTCATATGATGGATGTGACATCATAGAGGAGCCTTGATGTCCCAACAAGGATGTGATGTCACATGGGAGATGTGTTGTCACAGGGATGATATGATATCACGGGAGAGGTGTGATGTCACAGGAAGGATGTGATGTCACAGGGGAGCTGTGATAGCATGGGGAGGTGTGGTGTCATAGGGGAGATGTGATGTCACAGGGATGATGTGATGTCACAGGGGAGGACGTGATGTCACAGGGATTATATGATATCACAGGAGAGGTGTGATATCATATGATGGATGTGACATCACCTGTGATGTCACAATGGAGGTGTAATATCATAGGGGAGATGTGATGTCACATGAAGGATGTGATGTCATATGATGGTTGTGATGTAATAGGGGAGGATGTGATGTCACAGTGGAGCTGTGACGTCATAGGGGAAGCTGTGATGTCACAGGAAGGTGTGATGTCACAGGGGAGATGTGATGTCACAGGAAGGATGTGATGTCACAGGGGAGCTGTAACGTCATGGGGACTATATGATGTCATGGGGATGACATGACGTCACAGGGATGATACGACATCACAGGAGAAGATGGATGTGATGTCATAGGGGAAATGTGATGTCACAGGAAGGATGTGATGTCACCAGAAGGATGTGATGTCATAGAGGAAATGTGATGTCACACGAAGGATATGTTGTCACAGGGGAGATGAGATGTTATAGGGGAGATGTGATGTCATATTATGGTTGTGACATCATCGGTGAGATGTGATGTCACAGAAAGGTTGCAACGTCATAGGGGAGATGTGATGTCACAGGAAGGATGTAATGTCATATGATGGATTTGATGTCAGCTGTGATGTCACAGGGGAGCTGTGATGTCATGGGGACGATGTGATGTCATAGGAGAGGTGTGATATCAGAGGAAAGGATGTGATGTCACAGGGAGCATGTGATGTCACAGAGGAGTGACACATCCCCCCCCCAACCTTGCTCCAGCTAAAGCCGTGGAATTTGTCTTTGTTTCCCTTGGGTTCAAGGTCAGGCTGTTTTATTTCCATGGGTGTCTAGAGATGAGTTAAGGGTAGCTCAGACCTTTTGGTGAGGAAGGAGTTGTTTACTCTTGAGCATTTGAACTCAGCCTTTGTTCCTGGTTTCTTCCCACTGTTTCAGAGCAGTTCATTTCCCAGGGTAAAAGCTCTGATTGCCCAGTACAGTCAGGTTCTCCTGAGCTCAGGACATTTCACTGGTCTCATTTTTCTCCAGTATTAATTCTGTGCCAAATTCTTGCTTCCTAGGTCAGTGACACGTTGGTTTTTTTGTGGATGCTTTGTCCCCCTCAGTCCTTCCAAAGGAGCTTTCTTGAATGCACCTTCTTACAGCTAATTTTAATGATTACTTTAGATAAGCCTCTTAGAGTAAATGCATTTCAATGAAATCGGGGCACATCTTTTTGGTTCTGGTGCAAGATTCGAACTAATTTTTTTCTTCCTCTTTGGCTCAATTAAAAACCATCTTAAAACACTCCCAGTATGTTGTGTGAGTGCAGGGCTTGAGGTGTGTGGGATTGAGTGGACACAGAGAAAGAACTAACATTCAGAAACATATCTGCTTCCCTGTCTCAATTAATAAACCCCAGAGTTTGACACATTAATAATATCCATAGCAATTATGATTTGACTCTATATTGTGACATGCATATGCACATGTGAGTATAAGGACATACGAAATAGGTATTGTAGTTTCTGCAGTTCTTGTGTTATGGGTGAGGGTAGAGAGGATTCGAGCTAAAAATTACCTGAACATTTTGAGAGTGCAGAGACATCTGTCTGACCATCACTAGGTGTGCTTTGATTTAAGGCAGAGCATGTTAAAGAATGCAATAACTTAAAGCCAGCTGCAGTCTTGAATTTTTGCTCTGTCAGCAATAACAATAGCATTAATAATTACTAATAGTTAATGAGCTAACATGCAATAAATATATCTGCTCATTTTGACATATGTGCCAGTTTAATAATTCTAAATGAATTAGTGCGTTCATACAGGAAATCTCCCTCAACCTCTGGTTAAAATGTAACATTGACTAAAGGATTATAGAGGGGACTTAATTTTACTGACTGTTTTAACAGTTGTCACAGCTGTTGGAAAAAGGAAAGGCAATTGAAACACTCCAAAAAAGGGGTGGGGGAAGCAGAACGGGAGTAGTTTAATAAATTTAAACATGGTCTCTGAATGACAAACATAAAAAATTGAGCAGATCTGTAACTCCAGAAAGCTGCTATACACTATGTACTTTTGCCTTTTGTGGTTCACTGTGTTTCATTCATTTGAACACTTAGCAGTTTCCCTACTTTCTCCATTTAAAAATGTGCAACAGTGTTTAAATGTGGAACAAATTGAGCTGTTCATGTGCATAGAGTTTCATCTTAGAATGCAACTGATAGAATACTCAGCTGACAAGAAATAAAGGTTGTGTAGAATGGCTGTAACATTTCAAAAGTGGACACAGGTGTCACATCATGTGAATGCTTCAGTGCAGTGATGGTTGGTGTACATATTTTATGTTTTTCTAACCGTTCTCATGTTGTGATGTGGGAATGGTGTGTGGAGTTACCCTGCGAGTCTGTCTGGGTTATGTCTGCGCAGGGATGAACAGGAGTGTGTGTATAGATTCACACACCTGTGTGTTTGTGTGTGTGCAGGGGGATTCTGTGCTGAACTTCAAAGAGTTTGTGCCAGTTTCACTCTTTAAAATATTTTGGCAGAGTTTCTAATTGTTGAAGAATTTTTTAGAAGTGTCTTTCATTTGTAAGGGGAGGAAAGGGGTGGACTGAAGGACCTCTTTTAGTGCTGGGTGCTCCTTTTAATGTGTTTATGGTTGTGCTTCTTTATTGACCGAGCCTGGTGCGTTTCAGCAGTAATTAACCCGTGTCATTAGCAAAGCCCTTGTGGGTACCTGTTAATTCTCTGGAATGGCTGATCATTTTTTCTGTACTTCCCCCCCTGTTTTTTCCTAAGGCACACTGTCCTTTTCTAATAGTCCTTAAGCTTTAACATTTCCCACAAATTCCTTTTTAGACTGAGGCAGGTAGAAGGGCATCATCCCCATAGTTCCATAATACAGAATAACTATTGTCTTAACAAACTGTTTTCAAAGATGCTGATGGGAAGCAAAACAACTGGCAGAATCTGTGGGGAACAATTTATTTAATTATTATTTTTCAAAACACATGCTTCATGATAAGAAAAGAGATAAGAATTTTTTTTGTATGTGTGTCTGTGTGTAGCTGCATTAGCTGTTGTGAATATTTTGAAGTTCATATTTTAATCAGATTTCAACTTAGTTAATAGCACTTTGGGCATTTAAAAGTATTGAGCCAGCAGAAAAATACTTGTGCTTGCACTGCTGAGAAAAGATAAGGACCACCTCATCAGCCAACCCTACTTTTGCAATTAGTTTCAAATCCATGGTGCTATTTATCAAACAGAGAAGGTAACTTGTCTATGATCATATTTATCAATACTTGAAGCCTACTTTGCTTAGAGTAGCTAAAAAGCAGATGTCTGTTCTCACAGATATGTCAGTCCAAATGTTATGCTGCTATTTCTGTATGTTACAGAGCAAAGTTAAGATAGAAAAATTATGGTATAAAAATATAAATTATTCATGAATAAGTGACGTGATTATTCATTTTACAGAACAGTTTTTAAAGGACTGACCCTTGACCTACTGGGAGGTTGCTTGCACCTCTGTGAAAGTGTAAGTAGGAATGAAAAAAATGCTTATTTGAACCTTTCAAGGAAGGAAATCAAATAAGTATTTTTTTGCTTAGAATAAGTGAAAAGCATAGGATAAGTAGGAAAAACAATCTGGAAGGAATTCTTGCTCCTGTTGAAGCCCAGAGTAGCCTCTGTCTATAAGACAAGCTTTGCTATGAATTCTTTTTCACAGGAAATTCCTGGAGGGAAGAAACAATAAAATGTTGATCCGTTCCAAGTGCATATGAGCCTCACGCTGCCGAGCTCTCTAGAGGAGATCTGTGATCATGCCCGGCCAGTTTGTTCAGTTTTTATCTCTTTTCCATCCACTGGCCTTGTATTAAATTGTCATTGTCCCAAAGCCCATGAGAGAGAAATGAATTGCATTTCTCCACATGCACTGACAGTGAAATATTTCCCCTCTCTGTCTCCAGTCACACTTATATGTTTCCTTGTGCAGGGGTGACACCAGCAGTGGCTGCAGCTTGACATTCCACTCATTCCCTGTTCTTTTCCATTTGTGTGTCGTCTTTCAGGCTTGAGGTCGGCAGTCACACGTGCACAGTCAGATCTGTAGCAGCACGTCTGTGTGTGGGTTTGTTTTATATATTTGCATTTTCTGTGCAATCCTCTGTCTGTGCACAGCGAGTTTTGTGTTCCAGTACGTTTCTATCTGTGCCTGTGTGTGTGTTACAGGTATGGAGTGTTTTTTTTTTAACATTTTCTCATTCTAAGTAAATGAAAATAATAATATTTATTCATATTCCTGTAACTTTGGGCTGTCAAATGGAGAACTGTTTTTTCAGCTACATGTGTTCTTGACTGTATTTACACCTAAAGAATATAATTATTTTAGGGAGGGACGACCCCTACATATGGTTGTTAATGTGCATCATGATGTCCTCAGGCAAAAATATAAAATACACATTCAATTTTAATGGTCCTTAATCCTCTCCAAAAGCCCTGTAGTTGTTTTTTGGTTTTGGTTTTTTGATTTTGGTATGGTTTCTTTGTCAAGGAGTAAAAATCCTGTGAAACACTGAAGAAAAATATGAAACTGAATTGTATACTGCTATTTTAGAGAGTATTCCTTAATTATATTTTAAAGGACTTGGTATTGCCTTTTCAGTAGCACTTTGGAGTGTAACTTTTCTAGAATGGTAGATCGCTGCCTTTTGACATGTGTGTCTTCTGAAACAATTCATGTATTTGCTGTGTTACAGAAGCTCTAAATCTCTTGGGTTTGTTTACAGAACGCTTGTAATGTTTTTTTAACTAATTCTTACTTCCTTCAAACAAAGAAGGGCTTTTCTCTTTGCTATTCCTTAATAGAGCAGGTTTGCATTAAAGGGAATCTTGTCTAATTTCCAATTATTTTCCTGTTTTAAGTAGCGTAGCTTTTTAATCAGAGCATCGTTTCCCAATTCTTTTAAAATTGAAATAAAATTAATTTTTTCACTTCAGCTTCCTGTACTTGCCAGGAGAAACATCTATTAACAGCCTAATGAAAATTAGAGCAATATAGGTACTTTCACACAGTGTAACATAAGCACGTGCTGTTTTTCTGTACCGCTGAATGTCTGATTTTTACCGTGGGTCACCATTCTGAATTTGTATGAAACCTTGATGAAATTTACGGATTTAGATCAAAATAATTTATGAGGCAAAACAAAACAAAAAATTCTTACTTTTTGTGACACTAACACAGAACCTTAAATGTGAAATTGGAGAAGGATGGCCATGTGCTGTGGTAAGTGAGTATATCAGGGTGTATGGAATAGAAGTTCCTTGTTCTCGGTCTAATCAAGCCATTTAGAGTGTCCTTGTACAGAATTGTGCACATTTATTTCTATGATAACCTGCTGAAATATAATTAGCTACCCCTGTGCATGTGAGAATAGTCCAAATATATCCTTTTATCATACATTGAAAATTATATTCCCTTTCCCTGAGTAAAACTCTTTGCAGCTTTGAGCTGCTGTCTTTATATGGGAGGGCGTAAGATTCTCTTCAAGAGTTTTGTGCTGAAACCAAACTTTAGGATAAAGTGATTCGAGGTTTTTGAGGTTATTACTCTGTAGCTTAGTGTGTATGTCTCTCACTCCTCTGTGTCTTTTCATGTTGCTGTAAGTGGAAAAAAACCCTGCACATCTCCTTTTCATCATTTGGATTGGAACTACATACCACAGGTAATGTGTTTTGGCAGCACTTACCCAGCCAAAGAAAACAAATCAATATTAGCCATGCTGAGGAGTGTCAGAAGTATCCCAGATGTGTCGATTTAGCTTTGCTCCATCACACACTCTTTCCTTAAACAACTGGTCAAAATGTCACAAATGTCGTGTTGGCTCCAGTGAGATTCTAATGGGTGTGATCAGAGATTGATGGCTTTGGCAAATTAGAATGAGAAGATGATGTGGATTTGCTGTCTCTTGTTTTGAATGTCCTCAGAAATAAAACCCCAGACAAATAAGGAAATAAAATAGAAATAAAAATTTTTTAAAAAGTAAAAATAATTTAAAAATTATAAGCCATTTGTGTGTGTGCACTCCCCCCCTCCAAGCCAGCTAGATATCCCAGTACGGCCCGATCCCTTCCCAGTCCCTCCCCGCCCCCCCCCCCCCCCCCCTGATGTCACTCGCGCCCATCCCCGCCCCCTCTCTGACGTCACTTCCGTCCCGGTCCCACCGGCGGCACCGGCACCTCTCGCGTGGGGGGGAACCGGCGGCGGCAGCCTCGCGCCGGAAATGACGTCACAAACCCGCGCCGCTTTCCCCCCATTGGCCGCCGCTTCCCGCCAAACCCCGCCCCTCCCTCCCCGCTAAGCCCCGCCCACTCCCCTACTAAACCGTTGGCTTCAACGGGTAGACCTGATGTCTGCTTTGTCTTTATTTACTGAAACGGGTAGACCTGATGTCTCATTTGCCCCATTGATTTTAATAGGTAGACCGGATGTCCCTTTTTTCCCATTGACTTCAATGGGTAGACCTGATTTCCCATTTGCCCCGATGACTTTAATGGGTAGACCTGATGTCCTCTTTGTCTCCATTGTCTTTAATGGGTAGACCTGATGTCCTCTTTGTCCCATATTACTTTAACGGGTAGACCTGGTGCCTCATTTTCCCTATT